TGTTAATCCCTATCATTTGCTTTAAACCCCGTATCTTTTTTGTGTGTGTGCCAGGAATCAAACTCAGGACCTTTCACTTGCCAGGCAGGCGCTTATGCCACTGAACTATATCCCCATCCCCTCACCCCACCCCTGTATCATTTTTAAGGTCCTTGCTTTGTTTGGTTTGTATTCCACTATTCTTTTTTTCTTTACTACTCTCTTTCAAATAATAAAAAAAGAATATTTTTATGTCATTTCCATGACATAAACTGTCATGGAAATGACTTACATATTTTGGAAAATGTCTGTTGAAAAGGCAACCTGTGTATGCATGTTTTACCCCTGTGCCAAAGTGTAAGGTACTTATTTTGGGTGGAAACAGATGCACCTACATGATTTTGTTGTAGAAAATATGACATCCTAACTCTGAGATGGTTCTTGTACAGTTTTCCTATTTGGGGGTAGTGATTACACACTTAGAAGCATTCAGAAGAAAATTTTTTTTTTTGTCTTTTTGAGACAGGGTTTCGATATGCAGTTCAGGCTGGCCTTGAGCTCACTTTGTAGCCTGGGCTGGTCTTGAACTCGCAATGATCCTCCTGCTTCAGCCTCCTGAGTGCCAGGACCAGCTCAGAAGAAAACTTTAAGCTTGTTTGAATTTTGTGTGATGCAGTGCTCTGTACAGAATTATAATCAGAGTAGTTACTCTTTTTTTTTCTCCCTGGTACTGGGAATTAATTAAACTCACGACCTTGTGCTTGCTGGGCAGGTGCTGTGCCGCTGAGTTACATCCCCAGCCCGTAGTTACTCTCTTATCTCTGCTTCTACAAATACAATTTAGGGAGGGTGAGCAGGGAGACAGAGAGAAAGAGGGCAAAGGAAGGGGAGAAACTCTCCCAACTCCTACCGGCAGATAATTAAACTAGTACAAATTACTATGTTTTAGGTATGTGACGAAGGTGATCCAGGGAATGTTGGGGTTGCAGAGTGAGGGGCCTACTCTTATCTACACCAGGGAAGGAAGAATTTTAGAACAAGGGTCCTTCAACTTGAGACCAGAAGGATGAAGGTTTTGTAGCCAGGTGGGAGGTGGGGCTGAGAAGGGTGGGTCAGAAGTATTTCCAGGCAGGGAGGTTAATGTGTACAAAGGTTTATGCTCTCAGCTATGGAATTTGTCTCAAGTGTTTGCACTTTATTTAACAAATTTATTTTGCTTGGCCAATATTTACTGACTGTCTTGATCAGAAGACTCGGGAGCAGCTGTGTTATTCCTGGACAGTGTAATTCCCAGGATGTGAGACTGTTTGAATTTGGCCCTGATGTTCACCCCTCCCCGAAAGGAGATGCCCTAACAAGGCTGCTGAAGGTGGCTAAACTCACAGATTGGAAATCAACTTTCATTACTGCTACAGTTTAGATCTTGAATCCCTCTGCCCCAAACCACTTGCTAAAGGCGTGGTCCCTGTCACTGTTAGGAAGCCATGGAGGCTATAGGAGGCAAAGCCTTGTGGGGGGTCTTTTGGTTACTGGGGCACGGGCTTTGGAGGGTATGATGGGCTGCAGCCCCCTCCACACTCTCTTTTCCTTCCTGGATGGGAGATGAGTAGTTTTGCTCTACCAAGCACTCCCTGCATGATACACTGCCTTGACACGGGCACAAACACTGGATCAATGACTCATGGCTGAACCCACCAAAACTGAGGGCCAGAATAAACCCTTTCTCTTTGTAAGGTACTTATCTCAGGTATTTCGTTATTCAGGAGCCAGATTGTCAGGCTTCTACTGGGGCCTGTCCTTGTCCAGTGCTGAGCTGGACGGCCCAGGGAGGACATCGTACTGGCGGTATGATAACCTCACCCAGGTGTAATGTGGCCCGAGATATTTCACTCCTAGAAATCCTATTAGGAGCTCTTCCTCAAGACAGAGGGCAGGTGGACAGAGGAGGCTGGGGATATAGCTCAGTGTCACAAGCCCCTACCTGGCAAGCACAAAGTCCTGAGTTCAATTCCTAGTACCAAAAAACAACAACAACAACAAAATCAAAGAATCAACAAATGGGATCATATAAAATAAAAAGGTTCTGCACAGCAAAGGAAACCACCAACAACATGAGGAGACAACCTACAGAATGGGAAAAATTTTTACCACCTACTCCTTGGACAAGGGAATAGTATCGAAAATATATAAAGAACTCAGACAAATTAGATCACCCCCTAAATAAAAAACTCAGTCAAAGAATGGACAATGAAATAAATAGACACTTCTCAGAAGAAGAAATATAAGCGGTCAATGACTATACAAAAAAATGCTTAAAGTCACTGATCATTAGAGAAATGCGAATTAAAACAACATTGAGATTCCATCCCATTCCAAAAAGAACTAATAAATGCTGGTGAGGATTCAGGGAAAAAGGGCCCTTTCACATTGTTGGTGGGAATGAATCCCCTTTAGTACTAAAGGGAAAGCGAAGTTGTTGACTGCATTATTTCACAAGTAGAAACTGTGACAAAAAAGAAGCCCAGGTACTTTCTGTGGGAGGCAATATCAGGAAACACTGGGCGTGGGAGGGTATGGGAGGTCAGAGGCCAAGGCAGTGTGGTGCAGTTACCCCAGAAGACAGCTGCCACTTCCGCCTTCTGGGGAATCCCAGCCAGCATCTGGGCCCCCGAATTCTTGCACCTGCTGCACCCTTGGGTTCATCTTCCAGGGGTGGCAACTAGCACAAGGAGAGAGCTGAGTAGGACAGAAAAGAAACAATTTTTTCACATGTAGTTTCTGGTGAACCAATTCAAAGGGAGCTTTTGGATTAATCTTTGCTTGTCATTTAAGGTACTGGTAAAGAATGCATACACGATTCTTCCAAATTATGCACACATCATGAAGTCCCTTTCTAGTTATGCAGACCTTGCAAATTATGGAGTGAGAGAAAAACATCAAAATGCCATTGTATCATTCTCAATGAAAATTCAGACTTAGAAGCAGTTTGTTGGAAGTTAAGTTTCTCTGAAAACTTGTTCTGTGAGTCATCAGTCTTAGATGTACTACAATTAATATTATAAAAGAACTTGCCAGCTTTATTCCAATACATTAAAATGTTTAACAGCTCCAGTAACAGATTTATTAGCAGGAAATTCTCAAAATTCAAAATTATGAAACAGGGGCTGGGGATTTAGCTCAGCAGCACAGCACCTGCCTGGCAGGTGCAAGGTTCGTGAGTTCAATTCCTGGTACCAGAAGAAAAATAAAAACAAACAAACAAATAAAATCAAACATACTGCAATCTTGCATTTTCCAAGGGTGACTGATATCACTTTCAATTACACCGATTGATAACAAAGTTGCTGAAAGTATAAATTCGAATGAACTATAAATGAATTTGTGGAGAAGAAAACCAGAACAGTGTCATAATAAATCATAGTATCACATTAAACTTATTTATTATATTAATAAAAGTATATACTATACATTGAATTCTGTAAAATACTATATTAAATTATGGCATCAAAATCTTTTTTTATAATTTGTAAGTTTATCCTGTTATTTATGATCACTGTTATACTAATTACATTTCATAAGTAATAAAATAGTTCTATTTTTTGTTTTTTTGGTTTTTTTTCCCAGTACCAGGAATCGAACTCACGACCTTGCACTTGCCAGGCAGGCACTGTGCCACTGAGCTAAATCCCCAGTCCCTGAAATAGTTCTAAAAGAAAACGTTTTATTGGAGTATCTTTAGCTTATTTAGTTGTACTTTTTTTCTTACTTTGTGAACAAGGTGTTCTGTTTTGATTTTGCACAGGGAACTCCCAAATTATATAGCTGGCCCTGTCTCTAGCACAGTGATTTCTTCTGGGTCATGCGGTTAAAATATCAATGAGATTCAGGAGCTGGATGCTCTGTGGAGCCTTGTCTTGTTCTTGGAGCCATTTGATGTCAAGAGCTTTCTGATTTGTATGATCAATGGTTCAAAACCATATTCCCAGGCATGGCTTGTGCTGTCTTCAAAATCCAGAGAAGGAGTCCAAGGGCTGTGCTTCTTTCATTGTTGCAGGAGACACAAGCTGAAATAACATATCCTTCACTATGGAGGGGAGGTCCTGCATGCCTCCAGACCCCTAGCTCACTGTAATCTCCTTCCCAGGTTGTAGGGTTAGCACCCATCCTCTAGACAACATGTATCTTACCAGGGCATCTAGAAGATCTGACACTTCATGCATACTAATTTTAGTTAACACAACTTCATCAATATGAGGGGTCAAACTGGTGTTATGATGAACATTTAGACAAACATTGAGATCATTTTAGACTCCAAAGGGCCACAGAAGAGGCTAAGATGGTGAGTCACCTATACCGTCCAGGTGAGTGCAAACTGCTCCTGGCCTTCACAGCACACCAAATCCTAAAGGTCATGAAGACATCACCACTTGGCCCTGTAGCTGAAGATTGGAGCTACCACTTGACTGTATTTGTGATCATCTATTGTCATGTGACATAGTTCATCTAACGTTTGGTTTTGTTAGGGGCTAAGTAGGTGAATTAAATGAGGATATGATGAATTGCTATCTTACACTGTAGGGGGCAATGAATCTTAGCATATTATTTTAGATAAAATAGTTTTGGTAAAAGCCTGCATGGTGCCTTGGGAAGCCTCCCGGGACAGTGTAAGAGCTAATTCTCCAGATCAACACTGCCCAGGAATGTCTCCCCAAGATAAGGGGGCGCCTAGGTCTAGTTAATCCTCCATGATCCTGCCTGGGCAGTTCCATCTCCTGGCCCTACGTAAACATTGTAACCATAAAGGAAATGTATGGTTATCTAAAGGGGGACATATAAAACAGAGTACAGAAAGTATATATCATTGTGGTTGGGCTCATGACCGGAGCCTGACCCGGTTACATGGCACAAGGAAAACAACACGTGGCCAGGGCTACAACATTCCTTTCTGTTACCGTGGAAACCAAAAATGTATATAACCTGGGAACAAAGACAGGTCCACTCCCACTTCCCGGACTTGCAAGTTGGGATGAGAGGTGACCGGTCTAAGTTAAAACTGTCTGTTCTCTTTGGTCTCTTGCGGAATACAGCCTGAATTTTTGCCGTAACAACACCCTCCTTAGGCTTAAGGGTGGTCCTTGCCTTGCCTTTTAGGTCTAATGTTGTTTCTTGAGTGGGGGTCACTTTCAGGAGCATTTTCTTGGTTTTTCTCACTACAAGAGCTTTTATCCACTATAAGCCAAGGAACCAGTGTGAGGAGGGGGTCAGGGAAGTAGCCTGCTCATTGGAGCCACTGTGATGACCGTACACCGGAAGTCCATTTGTCAACTGGCCTCTGGGATCCCATATTTAATTGAGACGGCCATGACTTGTGGTAGTGATAGCTTAGACTTCGTAATCAATGTTCATCAGAATCTCCAAGCTTTTCCACTCCTTCAGGGAGCAGTAAGGCAGGTAAGTGGCCATTGGTCTCTTTGGGGAAGGAATATGGATATCATTATTTTATATGCTTCCTGAAGGCATTGCAAAATTGTTCTTCCTTTTTAGAAATTAGATTTGGGTCTGAGATTCTATGCCATCTAACGAAGGCATCTGACACATTGTAATCTCTATTTAAGTGGATAATATTTCTCTCTCTCTCTTTTTTTTTTTTTTTTTTTGTATTGGGAATCAAACTCAGGACCTTGTGCTTGCCAGGCAGGAACTTATGCCACTGAGCTACATCCCTGGCCCTGGGTCTGAGATTCTAGATACAGGTCTGAGAACTGCATGACAGACTGTGGCCTTCCCTTATAGTAACAAACCTTTAATCACTTGCTCTTGGCCATTTTTCTTGCAAAGGTCAAGTAATATTCTTATGCCTGCCTGTGTGTTTAGTTCTTGGGACCTGTGGTGTTCATTAGCTGCAGTCTCAGTTTCTGGCCTGCAAGGCCCCTGTTTGCCATGCGTACTTTGTTGCTACAATGGTAGTCATGTCTACCTTGCTTATGGGGGTAAAGGGCTGCTCCCTGGGTAGCAGATGGTAGCCAATGCAGGCATCTGCTTTTCTGGAATCCTATTGTTCTTCTTTGCCTTGGGGAACCTGGGCTCGTAAAACTATCCCTCCCAACAACCTGGCCTTGAGAGCATAGCCATCTGGGATGAGCTTCTTCATGAAGCCAGTGCCCCACAGATGGTGCAGCCTTCCTTGGGTTAATGAGGAGCATCTCCCAGGCTCTCCTGGGGAACAGCGTCAGTTGGCTGTTGCTCTGTGCCGTACTTTGGAGTATGCGCATCTTGCTGAGCCCAGGCAGAGTACCAGATAAGCCTATTTCATTTGCTTCAGGCAAGCTTTTCTCAGATTTCTGTGAACCGTTCCAACAGTGTTACTAGGGCTTCCTCTACCTGCCTTACCAGGTGCTTACATTTAGGGTCTTCGAAGAGTGTCCCTACCCGATGCATTGTTTCCTGTCCAGCCTTATAGATCACCATCCCATCCCAGTCTAGCATTATTCTCATGCATGTTTTTCCAGTTTTGACATACAGTTAAGCAGATCTTACAGTTCTTTTAGTTAAATATACCCTTTTCTCCAAAACAGAGGACACTTTCCCAGGGACACAGTGCTGACACCCGCACTTGTGACTGATTCGGAAGCAGACAGTAGAGGTGGGTCCTGCAGAGGACAGACATCCCTGTGCACTGTGAGGCTGTGCACAGTCCCCAGGCCACGGGAGCTCTCACTCTTCAGCAGGGGAGGAAGACACTCCTGCCAACTCAGGACGGTCACGAAATCTGGGGGCTCAAGGTTCGCAAACATGTGGGGAAAGATGTCCTCATCTTAACTTTCAGGGTCCTCTTTTTCTCTGTCGGGCCTTGACTTGATTGAAGGACACTGCCAGGGCTGTGAGTTCAGAGTCAGACCTCTTGGCTACTCTGCTCTGGTCACAGTTGGCATGATGTGACCACGGGGTTTTTAGCGTGGCCGCATCTTCTGGCTGCAGGAGTAGAGATCTCCTTGGACACGCCATCAAGGTCTCCTAGCTTCACACCCTGTCTAAGTCAAGTGTTGTCTCATGCTATCCTGTATTTCTGTTCTGACCACTTTGATGGCACTGGCTGTGTATCAGTCAGGGTTTACTAGAGAAACAGATATAACACAAGATATACAAATGTACAAGAAATTACAGGTTTGGCTTACAGTGGTCAGCCACAGAGTTGGATGAGGAAGCATGCAGAGGGTGTCTGCATGCTGGAGATTGAAGAGCCCAGCCCCGGGCCTGGAGCTCGCTGCAGTGTCTGTGCAAGTCCATATCAGGACACTGATGGGTCTGTGACGTAATGGTGAAGAATGTACGATGAAGGCCGGAGAGCCAACACCAGAAGGCTGAATAGTCCAAATGGAAGCCCAATAGTCTGCACCAGAAGCCAGGAGACGACCAAGCTGAAGGCGAAGACCAGAGCTCCTCGGAAGAGCCAGCAGCCAGTCCTTTCTCTATTCCCCTTTTTTTATGCAGCCTACTTGCCCTGGGAGGGGTGGGGGTGGTCCTGTACACCCACATGGTCTGCATGCCTTCCTCTTGCACAGCTCAGGATGAGTACAAAGTAAGCACCCTGGCTCCCTGCTGAGTCACTTAGTTAACCTTCTAGACTCTCCAAGTTGACACAATGTATCAACCATAACAGGCTGTAAACAGCCAACTCCACATTCTTTATCAGTACCATTCTGCGACATTTCTCCTTTGCTAGATTTGTGTGGAAGTCAGTGAAACGCTGTTCCCTTCGTCCTCCACAGGCCATCTCCCAGGGGAGCCTCAGTAATAGTAATGTCACAGCACACCAGGGGTGGGACATCCAGCCTGGGAGGAAAGAGACCCACTAAGGGTGTGTTACAGGAAAGCTGTCACTGCAAGCAATTGGAACCTGAGCTGGTGGGGAGCTTTGGCTGACAGTGCAGTTCTCAGGGTGAACCCACTCAAGGGCACAAGTGAGCTGAGGTCCTCATCCTTCACTCCTGCCTGTCACGAGCTGCAGGGTGCTCCCAGTGAGGGTATTACTTCCTGGGCACTTTCAGGCTGTCTTGTGCACGGGAAGAACACTGTAATTCAATTAGAAGTTGGAGAAGGCTCCCAGGCAAAAAGCGACAGGTGCTTCCGGTGGGAAGGAGAGGCTGGGCAGGTCTGTAGGAATTGGTCACTGCCAGAGTGGGTAAGCATTAGGCATTTTCTGCTATAGTAAGTTTTCTGTCACTTGACCCAAATGCTTAACAGTTCAAAGTCTGGATTTCATTTGTTCTTGTACTTTATTCTTTTTGGGATTCTACTATGTCTGTACTTCAAAATTCAGTTCTGCCCTAGTTAATGTAGGACCTTTATTTTTTCATTCTTTTTTTTTTTTTTTTTTTTTTTTCTGGTACTGGGAATTGAACCCACGACCTTGAGCTTGCCAGGCAGGTGCTGTGCCACCGAGCTAAATCCCCAGCCCCAAGTTTTTCATTCTTATGGTCATTTTCTAAAAAAAGTCACAAGCACACTGAAGTCCTGGTCACTCGGCCTAGTACATTAGTTGATCTCGTGAGTAGAGCACACTGCTGGGTGTGTCTGGATAAATCACGGAGGCATGGCCTTGTGTATTGTATGTGATGCCTTGCTCATTCCACTCTGGTGCTGCTCCCCTGCCCTGCTCCCAGGCTGCCATAACTAAGCAGCTTTGCTCCTTCACCATGACGCTCCTGCTTTGAAGCCAACCATGGACTGAGTCCCACCAAGCCATGAGCTAAATTCAATCTTTCCTCCATTAAGTTGTGAGTGTCAGGTATTGTGCTCAGTAATAGGAAAACTGACTAATACACACGCACTGGGTGCTGTTAAAGTAATGGGAGGACGTTAGGCTATAATGGCTCTAATGCCTGGATCCCTACTATAGTGGAGGAAGAACTTCTTTTCCCATCCATCCCTAGGTTCATGGATGAGGTCTCTTGAACAAGGATAGATTATTTTTTTATTTTAAAGAGAAAAAATACTAAAAATAATGATAAAAATTTCAAAACTAGATTGTAGAAGAGTAACAATGGTTAGTACATCGCTTATTGTTATCTTTGAAGAAGTTGCTCAGATTATAAGATATAGACATAAAAATTGATCAAACGATGTAAGCACAAAACTTTCTATTAGTTAGCTAATAGAAATTAGTAGTATGGCTATCTTAACTATTTTATATATATATATATATATATAACTTTTACAAAGGACAGATTAATAGGAGAAAAACATACAAATCTGTTTAACGTTAATTGTATGTGACACGGGAGCCTTTGGAAATGAAGACCTAACAGTGCAGGCAAACCTGTGTATTTTTATGATTACTTCCAATGGAAAGTGGCAGTTGTGGAGAATCATAGAACAGAAGGGTGCAATCTGTGGTGATTACGTGGGGGAACTTAAGGAGGCCTGTTTGTTCAGCTTCTCCTGTGTGTCCCAGTTCCTTGAGAGATAAGGAGTTCCTTCCCTCTAGGTATAGAGAAATCACTTCTTGAATGCGGGTCTCATGGCCTGATGGTAGGAGGGTAGAAGGAAATAAGAGAGAGATCTTTTGTGGTTTTCTTAAGTGCCAGGTTGCCAAATTTGGGGAAGGTCTGTCCAGAATTCCATCACTACAAACAAATCTGAACAAATCCCTCTATGTGGGCTCGCCAGGGTGGGTCCAGCCCTCTAGGCTGGGTGGGTGCAGGATGAACAGTGCAACAAGCACCACACGGACTGATTGCCTGCCCCCCTACCCAGAGCCCCAGCAGACTAAGTCAACCTGTGTCCTTAGCCTCAGGTCCCTGAGTGCAGGAGCTTTTTTGAGGCCGTGATGCTGACTTAAACTAGGTAGGTGAGCCAGGGATATAGCTCAGTGGCATAAGCGCCTGCCTGGCAAGCACGAAGTCCTGAGTTTAATTCCCAGTACACACACACAAAACAAAAACAAGCAAACAAAAAAACTAGGTAAGTGATTTACCTGTGCAAGCACATTGTATATTTTCTCATGCTGAGCCTGCCCAGCCAGAGACTTTGGGAGATGCATCTGACCAGTGCCAAAGATTCTCTCTTTGACCTAAATCCTCAAGTCCCCTGACTGTGTTCAAGACGCACTACCCCGAAATATGGCACCCTGTCATCTGAAAAGCGGTAGAAGCAAAGATCTCCCTGGTCCTCCCGCCTTTAACCCTTAACAGCTTATAAAAGGATTCTCTGGCCTTCCTCTAAAACAGGTCATCAGACTCTCATGTGAGAGATGCCAACCCTATACCCATAAATGAGGACTGTCCTTATCTTTAGAGATAGAGGGACAAAGAGAAGAATCTAAACAAGTAGGCTTGCCAAATTCCCTTGATTAGACCACAGCCACTTTTTGTCCAGTCATATTTCTCCACAACTAATCATTTCTTCCTCAAACTTAGCAAAAAAATATGCATGGGTTTCCTGTTTCTTTGGAACTTTAGTTCTGAAGGCTTCTGTATCATTTAAAATTTACATCAAATAAATTTGTATGCTTTTGTTAATCTGTTCTTTGTTGTAGGTGCTTCAGGCACGAACTCAGCAATGGGTGATTTCCACTGCTATACCCTGATCTCGGGCATGCTTGGCCTATTTAACCCTGATTAACAAGGGTCCTGCTGGGGCAGTTTAGTAAAACTCTACCACCCCAATATCTGATCAAATTCTTTAACTGCCCATCACCCAAGAATTTATCATCCTAGCCTACCTTCACCAAGAATCCTACCAGGGTGGTTTACCCAGAATATTTTTCCTTGGGCATGGAGATTTCTTTTCTAAATTATATTTTGTAGTCAAAAGAACATAGGTGCACACATGCACACATCATACACAAATACACACATGTACATAAATGTATGTTCTGTATCAAATCTCTCTACCCCCTTGGAGGCTAAAGACACCAAGATATGATTAACTAAGATATTTTCAAGACTTACAGGGGCATCAAAATTGACAGATTATCAATCACTAATGTTTACAACAGCCTGTTCAGACCACCAGGCGATGCCTAGAAGTCTCCAGTCATCGCCTTAATCCTGAAATAGGGCTCAGTCATTGCTCTAACAAATTTGTGTGTGTGAGTGTGTGTGTATGTGAGTGTGTGTGTGTGTAATCATCAGGCCCCAGAGGTGGTATACAGATTATTTCTAAGTGAACACATTGGAGCCAAGAAGATACAGAAAGAAATCTCACCTGAGCTTCCCTTACCTAACTAAGGCAGTGCCTCAGAAAATAGCGCTGTCATTACATTCCCCTCTGTCATTATACCACCTGTGAATCTGGCAGCCTCAGAGACAGATTCCTTATTCACCGGCATACAAAAGCCCAGTAGACTCTCCCAAGCTTCCCTAATGAGGCCCTGAGCCCTCCTCCATTCTCAAGTGTGGCATATGCATACATCTTTTATCTCTGTCCGTTCAGTTACTTATTATTGTTACTTATCGTTGAGTTACTTATCATTGAGTACTCCGTCCTGTATATGAAAATTAACTTTTGTTCTTCTGTTAATTTATAGGCCTATCACTGCATACAAGTTGGAAAAAGTTCTCCTAACTAATGAATACACACATTTGTGTGTGTGCCTGTGTGTGTGTTCCTTTTCTCAAGTAGCTCCCAGGTAATGCGTAGGGAAGATTGACCAGCAACGTCTAACTGAGAAGAGGATGTGACTTGAGGCTGGAATCGGGTGCTCTAGAGCCCAGGAAATGGGAAGACTCACCTCGATGGCAGAGTGTGGTGGATCGATGTGCAGACAGTGGAGCTACTGAAGCAGACCTTTTTTCCTGTCGTGCCGGTCACTGAAATGATGAGCTTGCAGAAGAGAAAGAATTTACTAGCGGGGCACAGTCCTGTGCAGACAGGGAAATGCTTCAGGTGTGTCTCCTGGGAATAGGGTTCACAGGTACTGTTACCAGAGTCCTGGCCAAAGGTCTGGCTCTGGGGGCCCCAGCGACCAAGAGTTACAAGCCCAAAACCACCATCTGTGGCTGCAGGTCGAATCTCTAGTTACTAGCTGCTTGGGTTTGTGTAAATGACAAAGAATTTACATTCTGGAGAAAGTCCCCCTCGAAAACTTTTCCTAAGAGCTGCAGTAGAGGCCATAAAGCTTCTGAGCAGGGGTAATGTCCCAGAATTATGTCTTTCTTATAGTCTGCTTACCATTCATCTTATAAAAGAAAGTGAAGTGTTTCTCCAAAGGTAAGAAAAACAGTCCGGGGCGCCTAAATTAGCACACCCCAGGGAGTGGCCACAGGTATGCAGCTGCAGTCATAAAATTTGTCAGGAGACTTTGCACAGAGACTGCTCTATTTAGTGACTTGCTTCATTCATGCTTGTAAAGTCCCTTCGCTTAGGGTGTAAACATGGAAAGAACACAGTTGTAAATCAAGTTGGATTGGACTCGGGTCCAGCCTCCTCCCCACAGCTGGCTACAGAAACAAACTTCCTTCTTTTACAGATATTCTGCCTCTCAGTTTGTTGGTTTTAAGGAAGCAGCGGACAGTTTTATGGCAACACAGCTGTGACCACTTGTCCCAGGAGATCCATTAGCGGAGGAAAGGGATGGTGAAGCTGGAAAGGATCTTGTCTTCAGTGTGGCCATCCTGGGAAGAGCAGAGCAGCCTAATGATGCCAGGTCTGTCTTTGAGGTGCTGGCAGTGGCTCTGGGATTACAGAGGGGAAGGACAAAATTAGGGGGTAGCATACACGCAGCGTCGAGCAGTATGGGTCAGACTACGGTCTGACTGACGTCCGCTCAGGTTGTGTTGGTACCAAGGAAGCTGATTGTCTGCAAGGCTCCTTGTTCTGGAACTTGACATAGGTTGGGGAAGAGAACGATTCAGAGAGATAGTAGCTCAGAGGAGAAAATTGGGGTTGGTTGGGGCAATGCCTTGGGACAGGATATCGTAAAAGCTTGTGGCTGATAATCTGTTATTATGATGCCCCTGTAATCTTGAAAATATATCAGTTATTCTTATCTTATTGTCTCTAGCTTTGAAGAAGGAAGAGAGTAGATAAATTTAGGATTAATCAACTGCGTATTATTGGTTTTAGACAGATATTCCTTAAATGATTATCATGTCAGCATGCTGAGTTGAGCAGGAATCTGAACCAAAGTTGAAGGTAGCAAAGTAGAGAGATACAATGTAAAGGTGGAGATTCCAAGATTTGATCTTGGTTTTAGCTCCCATCAGATATCTGCAGACCCAAGTGAAGAGTCAAAGCCTTTAGGAAAAGCAGCCTTTGAAACCCTATTACAGTATTTATGGGTTAAAGAAGAAGGGTCGTCTAAGGCTTGGGAGGGGTGATTGGAAGTGAGAGAAATGAAATAATTTGTGGTCTGCACATGCGTAACTAAACTTCATGGCTCTTGCAGGGTGCATGTTTAGAAAACAGCTGCTTCATCGTGATCTACGGGTGGAAGTTTTGGCCTTCTTAAGTCAAAAGGTCATTCATCAGACACTTCCACGGGTCCAAGAGAAGAGGTTGGTGGCTTCAACTGGTTTGAGCTAGACAATGCTACCTCTAAGTTCTTGAAAAATAAGCAATTGTTACTGTTAGGGTTGAGACACTCGCTGCGTGAAGGAAGACTCCAAGAGACGTTCTCTCATGCAAAAAGCAAGGGGATTTTATTCACTAAGCATGCATGGGGCTCACTGAGCTCGCAGGAACAGAGAGCCCCAAGCCAGGTCAGTTCTGGCTCTTTAACCCGAAAAACCACAAAGGAGGGGGCTTGCAAGCATCATTACAGAAGCAGATGGCATTGGTTAATACACATAGTTTTTTACACTTATTGGGCCTCTATGATGTATAGTGTGCAGGAATGCAGAGTTTTTCTGCTTATGGGCAAGGGGAGGGGGAGAGAGCTGTGTCAACACCAGATGTTCTTTCTTCCAAGGACAGAAGATAATGCTCTGGCCCTTCTGGCGCTCCCTCCTTTCCGGGCAATCTCAAACCTGTTGAAACTGCTTATCTATGAGTCACAAGAAGCCTTATTTTTACATTTCCACAGTTACCATAGAGAACACACATCAGAGGTACTACCTATAGCAAATCTAGTCAGGGTTTATTACTTCTAAAGCAAATAACTCAAAGCCAGTGAAGCTTGAGGGTTTATTCAGGGTGTTCCACAATTTCAAGCAGGTCAGAGATGTCAAAGGGCAGCAACATTTGAATTAATACACGCTGTAAGCGGAGGTGAGAACAGTGCCTAGTGTGTGTGGCGATGGTGGTTATGGGTTGGAATAATGCCCTTCAGTTAAAAACATCTCAGGGAACATTCTGATCAGTGGGGCTTGAGTCATTTTGGTACTGGGCAGTTTCTGTGAGATCCCCAAGGCTGAAGTAAGGAATTTGTCCCATCCCTTTAAAATAAATTCGCAAGTTGGCTGAAGAAGAATTTTCAGGATGCGCCAGTAAAAAGAGACATGAAAGGCTTTTATTTTAGGACACATGCAAAGAACGGAGTGCCTGTGCTCAGAGAAATGAAAATACATGACAAGGTGGAGACAGGTACCTTTAAAGGGCGTCTTCACGATGGTGACCAGTGATCCAGGACGCCTGTTCTCACTGTCTGTCACCTGACAGAACAGGCCGTGTAGATGTGTTTGAAGTTGAGATACGCTTCCCCAGCAATGTTGCCGCTTCCCTGGGTGGTAGAGGTAGTGTAACTTCTGAGTAAAAAGGATTCAACTAGTGCCCAGAATTTACAAGATGTTGTAAAAGTGCAACGGCAAGCAGAAACGCTGAAATGACACTCAGGATTTGAAGGTGCTGATCTGGATCATTCCCAGAATATCAGGCCCTGATATCTGGTAGCCTAGGGCTTTTATATGATGTATAAACATGAGGCACAAAGGAGGTACAAAGGCGAGACAGAGCAGCCTGGCAGTTCTGGTTAGCTAGCAGGGTGAGATTATCAGTTACAGGGGTAGGTTAATGGTCATCAGTTTATGAAGCTTGGTACAATAGTACAGTCCATTGGTTACAGGGGTCAAGAAAATAATTACAAATCATGAAGCAGTTACAGGGCTAGGCAGTTTCAAAAGAACAAAGTTTTTAAAAATTTATTTTAAAAATAAAAGAAGGAAAACATATTAACAAACAGACATCCATTTACAAAACAGCATAAGAAGAACACAAACAATACAGAGTTACAGACAAGTTGTAGGAAGTTAACAATGGTTGTTGTATTACTTATTGATATCTTCAAAGTGGTTTCTCAGGAAAACAAATAGAGACATGCAAGACTGATCAAACAAGTAATCATTAACTGTTACTTTCTGTAGAGTAATAGAAGACAGTCGTATAACTACATTAGCTATCCTGTATATACATATGTACATAATTTCCCCTTCTTTCCCTTCTCTTTTCCCACACCCCAGTAAATGAGATCTGAATGTATTAAGCAACGTATTTTCTCACTAGTGTAAAAACCTGAAAGAGTGAATGAAAACTAGGAGGTATGCTAGACATTGTGAAATGAAAGGAAAATGCTCAAAAGTAAAGAACTAAGTTTCTAACAGAACAATTTCTAATGTAGAGTTTTTCCCTTTCAAAAAGACTGTTAGGATTTTTTTCTTTGGACTGAGTTTCCTGGAAGGGAAAAAGCCTTGTCTTCAAGCTACAGTTTTTCTTACAAGTACAATTTTAAAATCTTGATTTCCTTGTCTCCTTTCTACTTACTTTTTATTTCTTCTATCCTACCTTGATATGACCCTTCTGGACCAATGACTATGTTGAAGTGGGCTGACTATTGCAATTGACCTGGCTGTCGCTGGGGACAGTCCCATGGAAGAAGATAGGCTTCTCCATTCACAAAAAGAAGATAAGCAATTCCTCAAACGAAAGGTGGCACTGGTCTGAAAACTGGTCTGAACACTGGCCAAATTGAAGAACAACCATGAATTCCTTGCTCGTTTCATGCTGGTGTCCCTATCTCTTTTCCCTCTGTAAGACAGAAACACTCAGCACTTCTTAGGCTATGCCAATTCCTCCCTTTCAATAGTCATGGCAGTTGGGAAAGCAGCTTGTGGGGAAAGACCAGAAAGTAAATTGCTGCCCACTTATAAGCAAGCTAAGGAGCTAGCTTTAGTTTTGTCCTGAGCACAATGAGGAACCACTGAACACTGAAAAACATTGGCAAAAGAGGCAAATGACCTCTTTATGTTTTTTGAGACAGGGTCTCACTGTGCAGTTCAGGCTGTCCTTGAGCTCACTTTGTAGCCCAGGCTGGCCTCGAACTCACAACGATCCCCCTGCTTCAACCTCCTGAGTGCTGTGATTACAGGCGTGTGCCACCATGCCCGGCTAGACCTCATTTGCACTTAGTAATAAGTCAGCACATATTATCATGCATCACGCTTTCTAAGCACTCTTTAGGTACTGAGATTATTCAGTGCACAGACAATGATTCATGCCTGCTTACAGCGCACATCCATGTGAGTTGGCAGGGTGAGCAGTAAGTCACATATGTAAAGAAGTAAACTGTGTTTCACAAGGTGATGCATGGTACCCAGAAAAACTCAGCAGGGAAGCGAAGTAGAAACTGCTAGGCTGGACACTATGGCTTTGAATAAGGAGAAAGTGCTCAGGGAGAAGATGATGTTGGAGGAGTGGAGGCATCAAGTCATGCTGATATCTGTGGAAAGAACATCTCAGATGCAAGTATTATAGATGGCTAAGTTAGAAATTCATATACAGTCAGAGGATGGGGCCTTCAAGGAAGTCAGTATAAAAATAAAGACATAGAATTGTGGCTGAGGGTGAAGCAGAAGAGAGAAAGTCCAGCCTTGGGATGGAGCTGCAGTGGTCAGGTAAATGGCAACTGGAGATTAAACTGGAATAGTCCCACCTGGTCCGGTTGGTCCAGGTAGGCATCGGGGGCACAGGTGTGTGACTGGTACATCCGAACCCATCTTCCCCTCGCCTACCCAAAATGCCTCTGTTCTTTCCGTGTACCCTTGTAACATGACTTGTTTCTCTACTGGGTCAATATTAGCTAAGCAGCTGCCCTCGTAATCCTGTAGGTTGATGTTAGTCTGACCTATGTTGTATCCATATTGTGATTTTGATGTATAAATTACCCCTGACTAAGGACCTTGATGGCCACCCATTCGGGACCCCTCCTGGAAATCTAGGAGCTATTCTTCTTCCCCTTATTTCCAATAAAACTCTTGTAGCCTCTTCCTTTGGCTCCTGACTTCATTCCTTGATGTAAAACCATGAACTCTGTACATTTGACATCTATCAGGTCAGAGTTATATTTTTCCTATATCACAAGAACAGCGGAAGCAAAGGCTCTGGGTTGATCATGTGCTTGGAGAATTGGAGGATTAAGAGGAAGACCAGGATGGTAAGATTAGCAGAAGGCAGACTGGGTCCTGTAGGCCAGCTCAGAGGCTCTTCTCTGAATAAGACAGAGTGCCACGAGAAACCCACTGGAAAGACCCTTCTGGTCAGTGTATCGATGACCTCACACTCTGCTTGAAGACATAAACCAAATAGATAATAGGTAGATGAGATGGCTATCCTGTTAGTGTTGCAGCTGGTAGCACATCACCAACAGTTTCTTTTTTGAGACAGGGTCCCCCTATGCAGTTCAGGCTGGCCTTAAGCTCGCTTTATAGCCCAGGCCGGTCTCAGACTCACAATGATCCTCCTGCCTCAGCCTCCTGAGTGCCGCGATTACAGGCGTGTGCCAACACGCCCAGTCCCACTATCCATTTCTATATGCCTGATAGAAATGTTGACACCTCTGACTAGGTGTGCTTTGGCTGATACAGTTTCATTGAAGCTGTATTAGTCTCTGTGGTTTAGGTAGGTCAGGGCTGAAGCCATGGGGCTTCCAGAAGTCCATTTGTGGGAGGCATTGTCCAAAAAAGGAGCTCTGGAAAGGTGAGAAGAAGAGTTTCTAAAGGTTTCCACTGTATCTATAGTGAGACTGTCATATGTTGGTGTGTGTATGTATAGACCAAATATTCTGGTTTCCATGACAATGTAAACTGGTATCCTTTGTCCCCATGTAATTATGACTAGCATTCTTCTCTGTTAGGGAGATTGAGTGGGCTCCTTATGAATTCCATGAGACATAGAGCCATGAAGCATATTTGATGGGACTCCACCGACAAAGTGTGGCCCAGGCAGGGGACAGCTGGAGATTCACCAAGATGGTGGTCACCAAAAGCATTGATAGAACAAATTCAAATTACCTTATAGGCAGGGAACTCGATAGGGGTCAGTCCTAGAAGGGCATGGGTGCTACACTCAGGGTGATCTAAGGAAGGTTTCATCTAGGGCAATTTAGAAAGGTATCAAGAGTATGCAGGGACACACCAGGTGGGAAGAGCTGAGGGAACCAAGAGGCTGTGGGAATATGGAAGGAAAAGGTCCCAAGCAGAGAAGAGCAGTGACCTCTGCCAAGGAATCTGGCACTCTGAGGCTGCCCTGCAGGAGGAAGCCAGCTGGAAGCTGAGGACAGAATCTTGTGGTCCTTCCTAGATAGGAGCAGTGAACCCAGAAAGAAGGACGGAGGATCTGCAGAGCCACACGGGGGACTAGAAGCCACAGTCTCCTCACTAGGTGTCACCAGTGGAGAGAGAGGAGGAACAGAAGAGGCCAGGTGGATGGCAACTGGTGGTGGGCAGCCCTGGTGAGCACAGCTTGTCTTCTCCCTGTGGGACATCCACACATAATGAGGGAGAAACCCCCGGAAAGGGAACAAAGCTCTGCAAAACCAGTGGCGGCCTCAAGAGGCACTAAAAGAGAGGTGGTTGGGTTAGTGTGACCCCACGGTGAACTCTGGCCCAAAGGGACCCAGGCTCCCGCAGATGCTAGTTTGGAAGGCTTTCAGAATTTCCAG